GTCGCCTGGCTCTTGCCCTTGGTTTTGCCCTTTTTTTCACGACCCTCTTCCATTCACCTTCCGATTCAGTGTCTGTGGTCCTTTTGTCAACAAGTCTAGACTTCTGTGCCCTAGTTTTGTTCACCTTGTCTGCTTGTATCACTGCCGCTTCTTCTCCTTCGGTCGTAGGTGGTTCATCGATTTCCACCCTCTTGGGTTGGCGCTTTCCAGATGGGCCCGGTCCGCTAATCCTCGAGGGTCCAGGTTTTGCGGTCACCGTTGCGTACGTGCGTTGGGGACTCGTTTGCGATTCAGCCGTCTTGGACTCTTTCATCCTCTGCTGCATGTTGTTCACTGCCGACATTTGTTCCAGCCATACCACCGGCTCCCTGCCTTGAGCTTGGACGGCCACTTTCAGGCTGCTAACATATCGATTCCATTTATTTTCCGTTAACTTGCGGTGGTTTTCCAATGACGCAAAAGTTGTGCTGATTCGTTGGCGCATAAATTTTAACGTGTTATTAGTGTTTTTTGCGTTTTTGATAAATCTCAGGGTCTCATCAATTGCCAACTGCACCTCGGCCGCCATAATCTGTCCCTCAGTTTGCAGCTTTCTTATGTCCCCTAGCTCGCCCATCGAGGACTTAGGGGAAACAATCACAGTCTTCTGTGAGGAAACGATGCGCTTCTTCCTCTTCGGTTGGCTCGTTCGTAGCTTTTCCTCTGCTTCCGATGTATCGCCGGTCTCGGAATCGCTGACACTCTCCTCCCTCTTCCGGCTACCAGATTTCCTTGTTACACTCACTCCCGGTGTCTCCGGTACCTCCTCGTCCGTACCCATCTCCGTGGTGTCCAGCTTCGTTTCAGGCACCAGTGGCCCCTTTAAAGGCCCCTTCTGTACGGCGGGCGGGGTCCGTATCATTTTGGGCCCGTCATCAACGATGAAAACGCAGGAATCTCTGCCTGTCTCCATTCGCGCGCACTCGGCACCAGCCGCGAACGCACTATTGTTCACTATTTACACTTATAGCCTAATTACTACTATTTACACTTAAAACTAAACTAACCCCGCGTCCTCGCGCACTAAAACTAATTTAGGGGTGGTTTGCCCCCACCCACCCCTGTTGAAATGAGCACCCGACTCCTCTGAGTCCGTTAAACTTAGTCCCGTCTTTATAAAACCTCTCTCGGCTTCGCTACCGCCCTATCAGTTTTAATATGTTAACTTTGATAGCGCTCCCGCTACCGTACGCGCCCTCCGATAAACTTCGGACACTACTCTACGTGTATCGTTTAAAGCCCTCTATCGTTGGCCACAAGTCCCGATACTGTCAGACCAGCCCTTCCGCCACCCAAAACGCGCGGGGGTTCAAAACACGTGGCGCAGGGGTTGATCCCACCCCCTCGAATGAGGTCTCTATCGCTTCGCCTTTACAGCCCGCGTTCAACCCAGCCGTTCCCGACCGGCTAAACACTTCCCGTTCAGCTACTGTAGGCCTATCAGTCGCTATCACGTGAAATTTGATAGGGCTGTAGCACCCCTGGGCGTGAACCGATACGGACGACCCGGTGCGGGTTGGGTTCCTTATCTAAGGACCTACCTTTTGGTACCTGGCAGGACCCTATCGGACGACTCCTTCCACACTTTTTGTCTCCACGCGGTCTTGTTTACGTCCACAAAACACACGAAGAACTTTAAAAATCAATTGCTACCGAACCGCTGAACCGATTTTCACGCGGTTTGGACCACAAAACGCAGTTTTAAAGCGCGCTTCCGCTGATACCACTCACGAAATTTTCTCACAAAAACTCGACGCTACTCGATTATGAGGCCGGAGAGCTCCCAAAACACGTCAGTTCTCTACGAAACTTCGCCTGCGACTAACCTTTTTTTTTTTTTTTGTAACGGAGTGGAAATCCATTATGGACACCACGCGCCTTGTTGTCTATCAGCGCACGGTAGTGTGGGACTCTCACCCACTAAAACCACTCCTGAGCCTAGTTTTAACACTGACAGGAACTGTTTTTCACTTTCTTCTGTCAGTGATGGCTTTGTTCGACTATTAATTCGCTTGTCTTTCTGTTTCCTCTTTGACTTTCAGTATGTCGGTGACATATCTTTTAAGAGCTGCCCATGCTTCTTCATTTTTGGTCGCTTTCCTGATAACGTTTTCTGGCGTTACATCTCCAAGTTTTCCTGTCATCTCCTCCCTCTGGTCTTTCCACTTCGTGCATTGGAAAAAGGTGTGTTCCGGTCCATCTATTTCTTCGCAGAATAGGCATCTATCGCTCGTTTTCTTCTTTATTCTGTGAAGGTACAGCATAAAGCAACCGTGTCCACTTAGGAATTGGCTCATGTAGTAGTCGATCCAGAATATTTTGCTTGCCACCCAGCTTTGAATTTGTGGTATTAGCCTCCTTGTCCACTCCGCCTTTTTTGTCTTGTCCCAGTCCGACTGCCATTTTGCCATTATCGTTCGCTTCCTTTCTACCTTCCTTCGTTTTGATCTCGTTTCTTTTTTTCCATGCCATTGCTAGAAGCTCTAAGGGTTCTCTTTTACTGATAATGCACAAGGCTTCTGCTGATACTGTCCTGTACGATGCTGTGATTTTAATATTCATTTGCCGTTGTGTTGCTTTTAGCATATTCTTGTATTTATCTACCCTTAGACCTTCCGCCCATATTGGAGCACCATACATAATGACTGATTGTGCACTCCCTCACTTGGTGCCCCACTTCACCACACTTGAAGCACCACCTGCTCCTGTCCTCGCCTTTGCACGCCACGGCAAGATGACCCACTTCCCAGCACCGATTACACCTCGTTTGTTCCTGCCTCATTCTAGTCCTACAGGAGGTCAGTTCCACCCGGAGGTACGCGTTCTCGGCCAGCTGGTTCGCCGAGCCCCTGTCCAAAATCACGTAGGCGATCTGTTGCCCCCTCTCGACCTTTATTAGTGACTTGACCCTGCACCTGGCCTCGGGAACCACCTCCCTTACAGCGGCAAGCACTTCATCGGGCGTCGTTACCGCGTCCAGGTCACGCACTTCAATCGTCGCATTATCTTCTAGAAGAGTCACCTCCCTTTCCGAGATGACCGCTTTGATTTTCCCAAGGATCGGCGCCGCCTTGCCGACTCCCTTTTCCACCCGGAGTAAAAGGTCCCCGGCCGCTGTCCTCGTGATCGCCTCGATTCTGGTCTTGGCCCCGCTCATATCTGTCATCCTTATCTTCCGGAGTATCTCCTCTAGATGGTTCTCGTTCTTGAGCCTCACGAGAACAGCCTCCGGACGAGACCTCTGTCGGGGACAACCTAACCTAACCTAATCTATCAACCCTTTCCTCTCTCTAAGACGTTAGTAGTTCGGCCGGGTATCGCCAATTGGCATTCTTCACCGCCGAGGGCTGTCCGGTGGCAGGTGTTCGCCATCTGGATGTTAGCCTAGTGATTTACTGTTGGCCTCTCAAGCTTATACTGCCCTCTCTCTCTCTCGTCCCTCTCGTTCTCTCTTGCTTATAATTCCATTTATGTAGTTCTTCACCCGATTCCACTTCTCCTCAGACTCGGTCATCTCCTCGCAACTCGGAAATATGCCAGAGCTCATGTGTTAGCCATAAGTAAACGATTTTATGGGAATGTACTGATAGCAGCTGAAGTGTCTTCTTTTCTATTACATCTAAGTCGTTCATTGAAACCATACTCTCTTTTTAGGTAACGATGGATTTATCGAAGTTACAAGAAGATAATGAGTATAAGCAAATGACATCTGTAACAGATGTAGACATGTGCGATTTAATAAACAAAAATCAATTTGGTTTGAAAGATTTGCTCAAATACGGGAACTTCACTGTCTGCCCTTGGAAGCAGGTAAATATTCAGATCTCCTCCTCACATCACTAAATAGATTTTCAGGCATATTACGAAGTGCATAATGCGATGATCGATCCGTCAAAACTACCACCGACTGCCCCTGCCGGAAAGTATATAATGAACACTAAAATTTTTAGTGGAGCCACCGAAATTATACACACTCGTTTCACGGGGATATTAAAAAAATAAGTGGAATGCAAATTGCAGAATTGTTGTAGCGTTTATGGTGGTGGTGGTCATTATTCCATACTTTGCAAATATTAAAAACGCTGTTGAGTATGTTGAGTGTTTTAATGGGTAAACGCATATCCCCCAATCAAGTTGTAAAACAAAAGATACGCGCTACGGAAAGTTATCGCAAAAAATAATCTCGCTCTGAACCAATCGATTCGAAAGGGCCGTAAAGTTGAGTGTGTTTTTATGGCTAATCGAAAGGTTCACGCTAATGCCTACGGTATTTGGAGGCGACGTGTAACGTTTAAACAAATATTTGATTGTTTTATCTAGAAACCCTAAACAAGATTTATGACAGTGATCAGTATTAATAGCCAGGATAAGAGGCAGGGTGCGAACAAGAACCTTTTAAATTATAAGGGAATTAATTTGGGAAAAAAGCAATATTTTGCAAGCACACAATTCTAAATTTTATAGTCATTACACATTACATCCAATTACGTGTACATTATTAAGCTTATCTTTACTAGTTATATATATTCTGGTGATCTTATCAACAAACGTTACTAAAACAAAATTGTTAAAAGTCGAGGGGTGTCACAAGTAATTTTTGGTGTACAAAAGACAAATGTGATTTTATATTTCAAAATTACACGAAATTACTTATCGAAGTATGTAGATTAATTACAAGTAGGAAAATTATTATTAATAATATAATAATAATATTTATTTCCATCCAGTAAATCACAGATTAAGGGTGCGTTTGCACGCCATGGTGTAAGAAAAGTGAACTAAGAAGTATTTTTGAAATATTCGTTGCTTTGTGCTGCCATCCCGAATCCGCGATCCCTATTTGTACTTCGTTAGGTCGCTGACACTCGCATACATTCGTCTTGAGATAAAATTAAAAATAGTATTTTGCTTATCTTTGGTTACCACCTGTAACTGTAAATATCGTTCCGTACCTCTAAAAGCCGTCTTACACTGAGCAATTTCTTGCACAAGATATATTGCACAATTTAAATTGCATAGTATCATACAGGAAATTGCATGCAAAATTACATTGCAACAAATTATTGCATCAAAAATAGAACCGGTGCTATTTTTTATGCCAGTTTCAATGCAATTTTAAAATGCGCGTGCGCCGCTCGTTGAACATGTGTTTTCAGATCAGCTGTTTAGTGTTTTTCGAGGTGTTTTGTTTGACAAAATCTGTCTTGTCTTGTTAATTCCTTCATTTAGTTATTTGTGTTGCCAGTTTTGCGTTAAAATGTCGTGGACACATGAACAGATTTCTTGTCTTATTGACTTATACAAAATGCATCCGTGTTTGTATGTGGTAAAGGACAAAAACTACCACAACAAGCATGTCCGAAATGCTGCTCTGCTAACCATACTTAATAACATTAAACCGATAAGACCAGTTACCTCAGAAGCTGATGTCCAAAAAAAATTTCATGGATTAAGGACAACGTACGCAAATGAGAGAAGGAAACATTTAGCGAGTATACACAGTGGAATGGCCGAAAATGAGGTAGTTTGTATCACTTTATAGTGTATAATAATAGTAACGTAACCATTTAACTAGGTTTACCATCCGTCGCTGTGGTATTATGAAAAAATGGATTTCCTGGACGACCACCTTGTAGTCAGGAAATCTAATTCAAACTTTTTATTGCCCGAGGAGGGCAATGAAACATCACAAACACAGGAGGAAGATTTACTGGATTCATCAATTAATGAAACTGTAAGTAGCTACATTCTTTCACATCAAAAGTTGAACATTATATGTTTAGATTGTGGAACAGTATGAAGTAGATGACCAAGGAGTATTGGTACCTTTATCACCAGAAATTTCCTCAGATTTAATACCAGATCATCAGAGGTCAGGATGCAGTGGGTTAAAAAGAAAAGGCATTTCAGTTGACACCAGACCTAGCACCAGACCATCATCAGCGGGAAGTGGCTCATCTTGTCATCAGAATGATTTGGAACTTGGACTTGGTGGATTAAAAAAAAGAAGTCTTTCAGTTGATAACAGGTCTTCATCTGCAACAGGTGCAAAAGGAAAAAGTAAAAAGGCAGAAGACCCAGACCTAAAAGTGTTAGAAGCTGTGTCTTCAAGCCTTGAGGGAATTACTGATGCGCTTAAGCCAGGTCTCAAAAGCAGTGAAGATATATTTGGGGAGTTTGTAGCTTCACAACTAAAAAAAATAAGAAATGAAAACAAAAGATTGACAGTGCAATATAATATTCATACTGTTTTGCACGAGGCATTATTGAGTTAATATTTTACAAGATATTTTATGTTATGTACCTATATTACAATTATCCTTATTACACCGATACAGTTTTATTTTGACGTTATTACATAATCATCACTGTAGAGCACATGTGAACAATAGAACCTAAACTAATCCAATTGACTTATTTTGCCACTCAACGCTTCCGACAGTATTAAAATAATCACAAAATTTGTTTCTTGTAAGCAGAGCCTCATTACTTGCTCTAAAACCACCTTGCTGTGATATGGTTTCTAAACTACATGTTTCATTAATTTCATTTTCTGGTCGAATATACTTCTTGTTTCTTACAGCCAAGAAATTATGTAATATGCAGCACGTTAGCGTAAGTATTTCTGCTTTTTCAGGGCTTAAATTTATTGTGTTTTGCAAAATTCTAAATCTGTTTGTTAAGATGCCGAAGGCATTCTCTACTGTTCGTCTTGCCCTGGACAGTCTATAATTAAAAATTCGTTTTTCCACAGACAATCCCCTTAAAGGATATGGTTTGATTATTCTTTTTGATAGCGGAAAAGCATCATCTGCCACAATAACATATGGCACACTTAAGGCAGTGTCTGGTAAATGACGGTCTTCTGGAAAGTTTAATAGGTTTCTATCAATGCCTTTTTTTAGACTACTTTCTCTGTATACTCCACCATCACTTATTCTTCCATTGACTCCAACATCTACATATAAAAACTTATATTCCGAATCTACCAATGCTAGTAACACTATGCTGTGGGATCCTTTATAATTAAAGTAGTAGGATCCACTGCTTTTAGGAGCTTGAAAATTGACATGCTTTCCGTCTAAGGCGCCAAGACAAAAGGGAAAATTCCAAAGTTTTTCAAACCCTTTGGCCACGTTTTCCCATTCCAGAGTAGTTCGAGGCAACTAAAATATAAAGATAATAAACAGCCAACGTATGAATCAATTTTACACCTGTATATATGTTTTCATTAGGTTTTGTATGATAGCTTTACACACTTCCATTACAATAATACTTATGGTACTTTCATGTATTCTTGTTGCATACATTAAGTCTCTAAACGTATTTCCACTGGCCAAATACCTTAGTGTTACTGCTAATCTGGAAATAAGTTAGCAGTTTAGTACTAATGAAAGGTAAATTAGGTAATATGTAGACTGTAGAGAAATATTTCAGTGTACCAACCTTTTGTCACTTGGGATACTTTGTCGTAACTGAGTATCCTGTTTTTTAATGATATCATCTATAAGGGTTAAAAGCTCCATAAATGTATCGTTATCCATCCGTAAGAAATTCCTATATGCCTCTGGATCTTCATGAAGTAACTCGTTTTGCAAAAGCGATAAAACTCCTTTACCCACATCTCTTTTTTTTAACCATTCTTCCTGCCACAATTTTCTCTTTTTGTTCTTTCTGGCAGCGCGTCTTTTTAGAATTTTACGAATTACACATATACCGATCAATCCACTGACAACAGATATTCGTCTTTCCACATTCATTGTATACAATAACAAACAAAATAAATTATTGAAAACTTGTGGTAATTATAGGTTGGGGTTGTATGATTGTCAGCTGGTATAAATTATAGTATAAATGCGCAGAATCCTCGGCTATATCTTGCACAAGAAATTGCATAGTATAAAGCAGTCAGCTCACAAATATTTGCTACATTTTATAGCACAAGAAATTGTGCAATTTCTTGCGCAACAAATTGCATAGTGTAAGACGGCTTTAAAAAGGGAATTTAGTGATCTTGCGAAATAAATTCTACCTAAAAATACTTATTTACCATAATATGCGGTTTTGTTCAGTAATTCAATTGAATGCCAATAACAGTGCCTATAGTAATTGTAATTCCTGAAATGCCATTCAAAGTTGGGTTATGTTATGGATTATGTTTACCTGATTTTCTATTAACTGCAAAATAACAAAAAAAACCAGTACCTACCTAGGTAAGTAAAGTTGAGGATCTTTATTTTAATATAGTTCTATTAATGGATTGTTTTAGGCTATCCTTCGACTGTACACATTTCCGAAGATTGACTTCCGACACCGAGTACATTTTTTTCCGATTATCATTTTACCGAACGATGTCATTGCAGTGCGTTTATATAAGGCCATCGGTCACATCATGATCAGAACACGGTGCGGTCAATTATTGTAACCGTGTATTTCTGTACTGTTCATGTTCTGACCGTAACCTGACCGATAATAATGTGAATCGGCCTTAAGGAATACTCAGCCTTTATGATCACAAAGGACAATCCACGCAATATTTTTAGGAAAACCAGATTTGCAAGTCAGCAATACTAACTCATAATTGAATGTTATTTGTTTGGGTGTGAAATCATATTTTGATATAATACCGATAACATTGAGATCCTTCACTCAACGATTGAATTATTCAATGCCGATAGTATGTAGTTCATTCAAATTATGGGAACCAAGATGGCATCCAATCGGTGGGGTTTCGTTATTATTAATAGTGCTTAAATTTAGTTGTAAGTGACGTGTACATTTATTATCGAATAAATATATAATCTTCAGTTACTGATTTCTTGCAGAGTTGTCTGATAGCACTTCCGAGGTGTAAATACCATCGTACAAGTCGACAGTGCTATTAGATAGCAACTTGGGCGAGAGTATTCTTGCCCATAAGTAGCGCTTCGTCTGGTAAACGTAAGCAGTATTAACACTGTATTATCAATTCAGAAACACCATCCCACATAACCTCTTTTTGTTGTAAGCTCTGAAATTTTTATATTAATTAATTATAACGTAGAGTGAAAAATCCCATGATCCTAAACTCAATGTTTATAAATACTTCTTTTGCCAGTTTCCTAACCCAAATTTTGAATGTAGGTAACGTTAACCAGTGTAATTCCTACTTATGGTACGGTTTTTTGCTGGATACATTTTATCTGCATTAATAACCAACAAAGCCAATAAAAGGAATAAGTTATACTGCTAAAAAATAGATACATTAATACATTCCAATAAGTACTCCAGTTTAAATTTCCCGCTTTGTAAGAATAGTATACCGTAGCCATCTTAGTGGATACACGTTGAACTACACTGAGCACAGATTTCTTTTCTATAATTGTTTTACGAGTTATTCTTCAAGTGTACGGAGTTCATACCGTTTGTGCTTTAGAAACCACGTATTATCCATTTTTACATCACGTTTTATTCCTTATATGTTCAAGAATCTGGAGAAACAATTTATATTTCAAAAACTTCTTTGACCTTTGAATTATACACAAAAGATTGCCATTGCAATCGAACGTCTACTTTATACACTTTCAGAGAATGTGCTATGAGTTTTAGTGCAATATAAACTGTTTACTCATAATTTACATACATTTAAGAACAAGAAACAACAAACATTTCCCAAAAAAAATGTCTAGTTTTTAAAAACGGTATGAATTCCGTTAGGCATGTTTCCCATAAGAAAGCTATTGTGAGATAGGCAACACACAATACTGATAGCGCGCCCTTAAGGATATTGGACATTTTTCACAAACAATTAAAAATAATATAAACACGTATTCGAATATATATAATCGCCGCCACAAGAGAAGAGCCCTGCGTCATCATCTACAAGCGTGTGATTTAAGATTTAAAATCAAAGTCAAAATAGTTCCGTAATAATCAATATTAAAGTTGTTGAAAAATGTACTAGATGGCGTAGTTTCGCAAAGGTTTAAAAAGAGCAACAGCAAATCCCAATTCAGTTGTTTACTTGTCAAATTTAGTTATTAGGTAGGGGAAAGAAAACAGCTTATTTATACAAAATCGAAGAAAACTTTAGACGTTTTGGTGTAATTACTGTATCAATTCAAAAGGTGAGCCATAAGCTTCGTTGTTTTATCATATAACAGTTAGAAATTAATTTTGTAGGTTATATCATTCTAAATGGGAAAACTGCTAGCAGAATTAGTAATTACGGAGGTAATTACTCAAATTACACCTAGAATCTAACAACAACTTATGCAAGGTAAGGATATTTACACCTGATTCAAAAAGATAACCGAACTTGTTTGATTTTTAGGTGACTGGATGAAATGTGAAGTTTTATACTATAAGAGCCATGCAACATTTGTAGGTACAGAAAAATTATAATTCAATACATATCCTTATACCAATTACATTGTTTTGTTGGAAAAATAAACGTATATTCATCTAATATTTAATCATCGTCTGATGAGTCTTCTTCAGAAGTATCGTCACCATCATCCACGTTAATCACCATGTCGCCTACTGTAACATCCAACTTTTCTTCACGTTTATACCATAGCTTTATCGTGTCTTCTGTATGACGAACACAGTTTGCCCAGATGGTTGGATCGCAATGCTGTAGAGCTTCGTTCCACATTGCAAGCACGTTTTCATCCTTGTAACCATCTCTACCGATGTGTTTGTCATAATATGTTTTTGAATGTGCCCATATAAGTTCTATCGCATTAAACTCGCAATGATAAGGGGCATGCCGTTTCTTTATTTGCAGTGATTTAATCAGCGAATAAAGCTCACTCTTGAATAGTGTACGATCGTAGCTGATGTTTTTCTTGTCTAGCCATGACATCATATCACCTTTTGTCCAGGATGATGGTAGTTTTTCGGCCAACATTGAGTGATACGGTGCATTATCCATAATAATTAACGACGGCTCTTCTAAATCGTTTAGTAAATGTTCAATTAGCTATTTTTTAAAGAGGTCGCCATTCATTTCGCCGTGGTAGTCTTCTTTCAATGATTTTGATGCAAATAGTAATGAAGCATTTGTTATGAATCCAGTGGCCGAACCAGCATGAATAACTATAAATCGTTTACCATCGTAGCCCTCAGGTTTTCGTACACTCTTGGCATCTTGATCTTGCCACGACTTCCCTGGATTTCCCTTTGAATAAATCCATGTCTCATCCATAAAAACGATTTGCCGAGGATTAGGTGAGTTTAATTCTTGCATGTAGCTTTTGAGAAATTTAGTTCGCATTTCCGCTATGCTCCATTTTTCCAGTAAAGCTCGGCGATTGGAATCTTTCTTAAATTTAAATCCTAGCGTGTGTACAGCACGATATAGGCTTCGGTCACTTAACAAAATGTGATTTTCCTTAAGCTCGGTATTTAAGCTCGAGATTGTGACATGTTGTTCTATAAAGAAAAGCTTTTGAGTAAGTCGTGTACCTACGTCACTAAATAATAAGTACTCACTTTGTGCATACATGTTGTAAAGGGTATTCCGAATGCCCATTTTGGAAGCCTCCGGGAGATCCTCACTTTTCATTTTCCTACGCGGTCGTTTTTTACCAGGGCTTTATAAAACTGGGTTAGATGCAGCACGGTTCTTGATCCGCTTTACAGAGGTAACGGATACCCCTAAAGCATTTGCCACACGCTGTAATTTCGTTAACGTAGTAATGACAAACAAAATCGTTATAATACTGCTTACCTCTTGTATACAGGAGAGGGGTAATAAAGGACCACCGTTTTCCTTCTCCCGTTGAAAATAGTCCATTAAATTCAGAACAAGCTGCTGTGCTTGTCTATGCAAGGTTTTTCCTTGAACAGACATACTACAGGCTAAGTGTAGGGAATGGATAAACGTAAATGAATTTACAAAGGAAGGAATAATTCTGAAAAGAACTTTGTTAAAATGCAATAAAGAACAGGAAAGTTGAGAAAAAACGTAGGTAAAAGAAGAATGACAAAAACGATCAAATCAGCATCAAATATGCATGTTAAACTTGACAAGCGTTATAGGTTATCTCTTTTCATTACATTTAGCTTTTCAAAAGCGCACGTCTATTATATCCCAAGAACTTGTTTCGTTCTCTGTCCTTTTTTGGGTTGCGCAAATTTTTGAGATGTAAGTATCAACACCTTGGATTTATGCATTCGTACATTGATGACGCAGGGCTCTTCTCTTGTGGCGGCGATTATAGTAAATTAAAAACAAGGTAGGTACATCACAGTTACAGTTTCTGAAAGGAACAAAGACGAGTAAAACTTATAAATAACAAAAATATAGAAATCACTGTTGGAATGCATGGTCGAGATATTTTTTAATTGCATTTTTAAAGCTGCGGGCTTCGTGAAGTTTTAGTTCTGTGGGCAATTTATTATATAGCAGAGGCCCCATGTAATATGGGTTGTTCTTGAATAAACTGGTATGTTTATTAGCCTGATTTAAAAGTACTAAAAATACGAGTCCGTTAATTTGCCCCCCCCCCCCTCCCCCCGCTTTCTTGTGTAAAATCACATTAAAAAAAAAGTGTGGAGATAGAGCAAAAGGGAAAAGTAGTAATAGTAATCTGAATAAGCTCCACTTAGTCTTCAGTTACACAAGAGAGGGGAGATTACTTACCAAAAGGGGGAAACAAGGCAGACTAAAGGCTGTATGACACTATGCAATTTCTTGTACAATTTCTTATATCGTTTCTGATATAATAAAAAAAATGTACAGTGTCATACAGGAAGCAATTTCTTATATCAGAAACTATACAAGAAAATGAATAAAACTCATTTTCTTGTACAAGAATTGCGCCGATTTCTGCGCAGACCGTGCAAATGCGTTCGCCGCTCTCGCTAACTTCAAGCGTCTTGAAATACGTCATCATGAACAGCTGGAGGCAAACCATAAACATTTAACATAACCTATTTCATTTCTTAATCTCATCGATATACAGTTTGAAACATGTCGTGGACAAGAGATCAGGTTTTGTCGCTTATAGAAATGTATGGGCGCCATTCCAATTTATATAACATTAAATCGCCCTTATACAAAAATAAACATGCCAGACAAACGGCTTTGGAAAATGTGGCCGTAGAAATCTCCCAAATTAGGCCTGGTACCACGGAAAACGATGTTGCAAAAAAGTTTAATGCACTAAGAAGTACATTTTTAACAGAAATGCGAAAAGTGAACTCTTCAAACAAGAGTGGTGTAGGAACCGATGAAGTATGTAGTATTATTTAATTATGAACAAGTAATTGATTGTACATTTTTTAAAGATTTATTACTCCAACTTGTATTATTACAAATCAATGAATGAACTTCTTCGGGGCTCAGGAATTGATGCAAGAAGGTCTGTCGATACTATCACTGAGACCCAGTCTAGTGAAGATGTTGCTAGCGAAAGCGTCACGATCGAACGGAAGTTCGATCAAATAGATGAGGTTATTATGCATTCCCCAGCATTCTCAGAAGAAGTAGGTATTCTATATCAAGCATGACTTTGTTTAAGTATTTTAAAATGCTTTTTACGGTTCTATTATAGTGTACTTTTAAATATGAAAATTCCCTTTTAGGTGATTCATGAAGACATTTCTATTTTTGAAGACTTTGCAAGCCCCACTGAAAGTCGGGAGAACACACCTGGACCATCGCACCGTGTGTCAAAAAAAAGAAAACACGGATCAAATACAGAATCTGATTTACGAGGCATGACAGATGCAATAAGTACATTAGTGCATACATATGCAAAAACCAAAGCTCAGACACCCGACCATATTGATGCGTTGCTAACGTATGTTGGTTCAAAGCTAAGGCAAATTCAAAATAAAAAAATATTTAATGAATTAGACTATTCAATTCATCTAACATTTGTCACATTTCGACCAGTGAAATGTCGAGATTTCAAATTGTTGAGCCAATGGGAACGAATTATAGTGACAATTTCACGTGTGGTATTTCAGCGACAATTCAACTCATGTATAAAAAATCGCATAAGCCGCAGTGTAATTGTCACTTTGACAGCGGCAAAAGTTACCTGCAACTTTTCCAGCGACAAATGCACTAGTGGTTTTTTCACTTATTCATTTTCGAACCAATAATCGCATTATCCTTACCCATATGACTAGTTTGACGTCTGTCAATAATTGATTAGTTTGGTGAATTTCTTGTTCGTTAAATTGTCCTGCCGAATTACACTCGAGGTTTGTATTTAAACCGAATAAATTTGGGTTGTGGCAATTCAAATCTGTTTCCTTTTAGCAATTGGACTCGAAAAACTGTCAACCTAAAAATGCTCCACCTGCGGTGTCGCATTTTTATTAGTTGACAGTTTTTCTCGTCTAATTGCTAGGCAACAGATTTTCATTACCTAAACAACCCAAATTTACTCGGTAAAATACAAACCTCTTGTGCAATTATAAGTGATAATTTCACGTGTGGTATTTCAGCGACAATTCAATGCGATTATTCAATGACATTTGTCAAACTTCCACCAGTGAAATGTAGCGAAATTTTGTCGTATTAACCGGAACATTCTTCTTAGTTTGTTAATCAATTTCGACAACCGACTTATCACCACATCTTTTAATTTAATCACTCATAACGAATTAGCTTGGAGCACAAAAGTTCGAATAGAATCAATAGCAAAATGAAAAGCAACTTCCCTAATTTATTTTGACGTTTATTGTTGTCATGGAAATACATTCGCGTGGGTAATTATGCTTAATTTTTCTTTGGATTCATTGAATAGTCCTCCGAATACCATTCGTAGTCGAAGTATTTGTAGATTATTTTTGAGCTGCTGCTCCACTCATGCTAGTTACGCTTAGCGTAGCGTAACTAGCATTCGTGACAGCACCTCAAAAATATTCGACAATACTTCGACTACTTATGGTATTATATATGAAAATACAATTGTTGATGCTGTTAGGGATGCTGTGGCGAAAGATATGGAAAATTAATGGATTTCTTTTAATAAACATTTATTATTTTTATTACATATTGTGTTTTCAAATAGCTTCCTCTTACCAATCTACCTTTCCAATTACGGAAATGAAGTACTCTTTAAATTCGTCACGAATTTTCTGTGCCGTGGTATTTGACCTCGTATATGATTGCTTTGGGACTTGGGTTAATGTACAGGTATTACTTTCAAAAGCTTCCAAAGTGGAGACTGTTGTATCTTTCTCAATTAAGGCTGGACAGTACACCCGTTCCGTTGCCCGAAAACGCGTGATTTCGTTCCACGATATCTTAATTCTGAGTGAAGTTGAAGAAGGGGTCGAATATTCCTGTGAAAGGTGAATGCTTTAGCTAGACAATAACGCCGGGGTTTACTAAAATGTTTTAAAATAATCTTTTTTTTAAGGGCAACGTCGAGGGCTGTTAGGGTGTCATATTTTGGAAAAG